TCTTCAAAACCCGCTTGGACGCAGTCCTGTGCCACGTGCTCTAGGTGACTCTGTGTATGCAGGGGGGTTGGACTAGATGATCTCAAGAGGTCCCTTCCAACCTTAAGCATTCTATGATTCTATGATTCTATGAAATCCTTACTGTAGAGGTCACGTTCATAACCCTGGAAGTTATGAAGAGTTATTAACTCCAGAAACTTTCGACTGGTGGTCTACAAGGGATATAAAAGAAGATAGTCTAAATGGAAAGAAAGCTACAACAATTTCATAGGGGACTTTCACTGCTTATTTATCTAAGGAAACAGAAAATCCAACAAACACTTGGAGTAAAATTTTGATACACTTAGGACGAGAGGAGGAGAATTTTTAATAGTAACCATATCTCAGGCATCTAATTTTCCAAGCCATACCTCAAGCCAAATTTCTCCTAAAAATGGTAATAATATTGATTCAACTCTATGAGTACTCAGAAACAAAATCATACCTGGTCATGAAGCCACATACATATTTCTATGAAGAAAACACATTCTGTTATCTCCCAAAAAATTTCATCACTCAAATACTTTCCATCTGCGCATGGTGAAAAATTAAAAATGAATATTCTCAAAGGTAAAGAGACCAGGTTAGTATTTCTGAAATTTATAATGGCTAATGAATTTTTATTCCACCTATTTTTTATATATTTTTCAAATAAAATCTGTAATATCTGGAATTAGTATTGCAAAATAGAACATTTAAAAATGTAGAAGATGCTGAAGTGTATATATACCACAATTTAATCTTTAATTACAAAAGTATTTTCTTTCCCCATAGGACAGCCTATTCAGCACAAGAGAATGAAAGCAAGCTGTGAATGAAACGGTTTTGTAATGTTTACTTTTGGCCTGCTGTTTAATTCCCTGTGCACCAACTACTAAACCAAAATAGTCCCAAGTCTTTTAGAAATAATACTCCATCATTGCTTGGAAACAAAGGTAACATTCACATATCACACACACCTAGAAAACAGTCCAGTCAAACCTCACTTCATTATACCATTTTCCATAGATCATATTCAACATGTATAGACATATTGAAAATTAAAATTCCATTTCATATTTTCTTATTTTCTAATCTCTAAGTGTTTGAGAATTCCTATACTAGTTACATGTGTTTGGAAGAAAAAGCACATAATGAATAGCAGGAAAAAATTGTAGTACCACACAGGAAAATAAGCAATTAATTTGTATAACTTCTTTGTAAATATTAAAATAGATCCCTAGTAGACTTTTTAAATGACATTTGCTAGTAAGGCTAGGTCAAGTTCTCAAGTATCTGACTGCTTTCAAAATGAGTGTGACAAACTCCATATTGAAAATTTAGCATGAATAACTTCTAAATTATTTCATATAAATTAGGATCTAATGGATCTAATAAATCTAATAAATGAAAAAAGTCAACATATTCAAGCTTCTGTTACTCTTTTCGAATGAAGGTAGTAAGACAAACAATAGCGAAGCAAGAACATTCTCCAGCCTAATCTACCTAGACTTAAGATACATATCTTACTAAACAGAAAAGTTGAATTTTCATTTCCATTTCTTATTTGTTTTCATAATTCAAAAGGAAGATGAATGTCTGCAAACATTTTCATTTAAATAAAACTTTCCCTTTCTGCCAAATTAAGGAGTATGCTATGCAATTCAGTGGAATGAAAAGAACAAAGAAACAAAGTTAAAGCTTCCAGAAAAACCTCACTCGGATGGTAAAGCAAAATCATCTACGTTGACTACATGATCCAAAATTTTCCTTTAAAAAAAATGCACACAAAAATATCAAATTCATGATAGTCATTATGATATCCCTAAACAAAGTAACGTCAAAAACGAATTCCCCTTCCTATTCTGCTAATCTCCACAAATAATGCACTGTAAAGCAGATTTTTATCTGACAGCCTTTTGAAGAGTTTTTTCCCTTTCTTTCTGCCCGCAGGGAGGGAGTTATCATTCATCACACCACTGCCAAGAACGGCGCGGGAGGAGCACGGTGCCGCTTCCCAAGGCCCGCCGAGCGCGCGGCCATGCGCATCCCGGCCCTGCGGCTGGGCCGCGGGATTCCCCGCGTGGTGACGCGAACGCTGCCTATCGAAACAGGCCATGTCCCACGTCAGGCTGATAAATAGGGCAGCTTCCTCCAGATTCCCCTACTGTTTTATGCTTCATCCATCAGGACATCAAAACTTCAAGAGTTATTTTTGCTTCCTTGTTTACTTTGCAGTCATTAGACTTCCAGGCTTATCAAAGGCGATGAAGCACATGAGCCAAACATGCTGAAAAGCCCCAAAGAAGTTTCCCCCTCAAAAGCTCATGAAATTTCTAGGCATTATC